TACCTATTTTCACTGTGAATCAGCCTCTTCGTCGAACAGTCAAATGGAACTTTGAATTCAGAGTGCAGTCATCATGTAGCTAGGTGAGATAAGGAGCCGAAGAAAATCGTTTAAGAATACCTGGTAGGAAAGCTCAAATGAACTACTTTATCCATTAATAGTAACTGATACCAGTGGAATCACTAGATGTTATAGGATGAACGTTAAATTTAGTGCGAACAGATCGAGTACAATTGTGGTTTATCCTTCATAAAATGAATAACTTAAACAATTGTAGATAAATCACTCGAGACACATACAACACGCACAATACGGTAAAGAACAGATCCGGAAAGCGTGAAAAGTTAGCAAACGCTAAGCTACCAAGTCGAAATCCTAGGATGTCGCATTTTGTTGTCATCATAAGTACAATGAGAACGCAAACCTATCTGTGATATAAATCACATCGCAATATATTACTATAAAGTGAGACTTCAGTACTCTCAAGAATGACAGCAGATGTGCGTAAGGATTGTGCGACTGAGGTGTGAAGAAGATGTAAGGATATTATTGAACATAGCATGAGGAAGCACCCACATACAAATTACAGGAAGTAGTCCGGAGTTCTTCGAGTTACGTGGGGTTCACCTCGTCTTGGAGCAGGATCAAATTGCAGGAATGAGTATTTCAATTCATCGTCCAATTCAACCATAGCGGCCTGATTTCCGCATCGATAGCAGTAGTTCGGTGCGGAAAACACTGTCACAACGTTACGATCATGACACCAGTTGTAACCCTAGTAAAGATAAGATTTGGAACCACAGCAGAATTCAGAAAACCGATTTTGCATTTACCTCCATGACAAGCTGATGCGCACGAGAAATGAGAGTGAGACCGTTTGAATGGTTGAACGTCTCTGATATGTCTTGTCCAAAAGTGTATCCGGCACCACGAGGAGAGATACCCCAACCTCCACGATCGTCAGGGTCAGACCAGAGGAGATCACACATAGGACCTTCATGCGGGACCTACAAAGGTTCAATACCTTGGAACTATGATTCTATGTCAACACAAAATCTTGATTTTAAAAAAAGCATGTATTCACACGAGCCAAGCCGCGAGTACATGCACTACAATGCCGACATATTAGATTTTTAAAAATACTAATTAAATTAGCAAAGGCATAAGAAATGATCACTAAGGAGTATAAGCAAATGCTGCCCTTAATTTTAAAGTTGTAAATAAACCGAAGCTGGAATGGCTCCATCAACTGAATATAACAACCAATTCCTAAACGCTTAAGATAACAGCAAAAAAGACAATGCGGCATATCAGGTTGTTCTTTCTGTTACGTGCTGAGACATATCTACAAAGTTTCCTATTTATAACCTTTTTGAGATCTCTAATTCAGTAGCCCAAAATGCAAGTTCTTCTAGCTGATAGCTTTTAGATGCCTTGATTGTGATTGGAAAGACAGATTGCAGAAATATCGGAATACAAACTAAACTCACTTCTTGGATACGATCAAGAGCTCTTATATGATCGAGGGTGTCAATCGACGGAGATAAGCCACCATGAAGGCAAAATATTTGACCATCCACAAGAGCGGTCAGGGGAAAGCAGTCAAAAAGATCGGTGAAGTATTTCCATACATTCGAATTACCATACTTGCGCAGGCACTCATCATAGAACCCGTAAACCTTAAAAAGGAATTCATCCAACAGCAGCACACTGACAAGCATTATGGATCTCTATTTTCACGATTGCCTAGCGTTCATGCAAAGGAATATCAAGTCAAAACAATGGGA